AGAGGAAGCAAGGCGTTGGAGCACGCGGGCAGTGGATAGCCCAGACGTGTCTGGGCTGTCTGCTGCCCGCGTTCTCCTTGGCTTTGCTCTGCTTTGCTCCCCGTCTCCCTGGTCTGCGGACCAGGGGGACGGGGAGCACAGCGGCGGAACACGCGGGCAGCGGACAGCCCAGACGCGTCTGGGCTGTCTGCTGCCCACGTGCTCCGCCGCTTTGCTTCCTCTCCCTGGTCTGCTGGAGACCAGGGAGACGGGCCCCATTCGTAACTGCGGATCCGACGTAAGTTGGATCCGCGTAACTCGGGGACTCCCTGTACTGTGAAAGGTGTATATGGGTTTTCTTACATTTAAAAAGCTTTCCTTGGCCTCTTCACTTGCAACAAGATAAAAGCTCTGTCCATATTTGAACTCTATATCTAAAACTATTAGAAGTTCTTCCCCTGGATATTCCTGCAAAAAAAGAACAGAAAGGTTTCATTCATTCAGCTTTTACATCCAATGATAACTGACACATTAATTTAAGATCTATACAATTGTGCACTAAATATTCAAGTAGTCAATACCAGAAAACACAATCCTGAAGAAAATTAATACTTATGCATAGAACTTGTAATTATTTATTGGAAAGCTTGATCCTGTGCTCATTAACATCAAGGGCAAAATTACCATTAACTTTAGTGATGGGTGATCAGGGTCAGATTTTGTAAAAATTTATAAGTATTAAGGGCTGTCTTGCCCTCACATATATGTGTTTAATTCTCATTGGCTTAAGTGAAAATTTCAAAAGCCTTTATTCAAAGGCATATCTAGGCTTATTTCTATTTTGTAATATAATAATATTTTTTCTGTTTTACATTTTTAATGATTATATATTAATATGAAAAAATAGAAGTGAAAATAAATATAGCATTCACAGATGGACAGATAAGGATGGGCCTTACCAATGAACACTCGTAAATGGTATGAGGGTTTTACATTTTAAAGTTAGAATGAAAGGGGTTGCATACTAGGACTATTTTTTTAACTGGGTGGAAATCAGAGACTGCAGCTCTTGTCTTCATGTCCTGAATTATATCCTCTTTTTTTAGAAGTTTGTAAGGTTTTTCTTCTGAGACATCTTCATTAATTCGACAATTAAAAATTTCCTGTGTCTTTTCAGTGAAAACTAATGGAAAGATCTCTGGATGGCCTAGAAAAGATAAGGCAGATTTGGAGTGTAAACAAAAATAGTGTTTTCTTTTGAAAGGTAGACAGTGTAGGAGATATGTCCTTAACAGATCTAAATCTTACTTATTGCTAATAACATGATACCTTTGAATCTCAGTACTTATAGTTTTTAGTACATTTGGCAGCATAGACTGTAAATTCAACACGGAAAGATAACATTTTCTTCATATCATAGAAGTCTATGCCTAACACATTGTATAATCAATGTACAGTAAAACTCCAATAGTCCAGCATCCAATAGTCCGGCACTCCTGATAGTCCGGTATCAAAATGGCAAGAGCCTAGTGAGTGAGCTTCGGCAAAAAATGAGTCACAAGGTAACAACGGCAGCAGCTGAACTGAGCAAAAAGGGTAAAAAAGGCTTAAAAAAACTAAAACGTTACAGTATATTGTATACAGTATGTACAATAAAAAGGGTTAAGAACATTTTATATACAGTATATAATGTATACAGTATATATATATAACCAGTTTATAGTACCTCCTGATAGTCCGGCATATCTGATAATCCGGCACCACCTAGGTCCCATAGGTTCCGGACTATCAGAATTCTACTGTATTTAAAATAGAATCTTTCAAGAAAAAAGAATGCATTCACAGTCATCCTGTACTATACTATGGCAGAAATTCTGTGGTAGAAATTGTCTATGTGGATGTTAAAGAAACATTTATTTGCTGTTAAACTAGCATTCACAAAACAATGATCAGCTGATTTCTTTAAGGTAATGGATAGCCCGGTAATTCATTCATTCTTGGGCTGAAAAGAATCCTCCTTGGAGTGTGGAAATCTTGTATCACTGTGGGTAAAATGTACAGTATTCACATCAAAACATCTGCATCTACAAAACCATAGTAATGCCTGGGGGAGGAAGAGGAGACAAATCCTCAATATATTCTGCTTAAGTTTTGTTTAGTGTTGCTCACTAAGATACTGGGGAAACTTAATTCTGCAGCCTGTACTTTGGACTTATTTCTATATATAGGCAGTCCCCGACTTACATGGATCCGACTTATGTTACGAACAGGGCTTTTCTCGCCCCGGAGGACACGGACTGCGGGACCTCGAGGTCCCACCGCCCGTGTACTCCGGGGCGAGAAACCCTGCTCCGCGTCTCCCTGGTCTGCAGACCAGGAAGACACGGAACAAAGCCGTGGAGGGGCTTGGGCAGCCAGGCAGCCCAGGTGCGCCTGGGCTATAATAGTTAAAGCCTAGAATGACAAGGGTGTAGGAGAACACAGGCATCAAGATAATATGAGCTGTCTTACTGCAACATTTTTCATAATCTCAAACAAACATTAACCATTAGATACAGTCACTAATCACACAGATCAGCATCTATCTAGAGCTGGATTTTGATCAAAAGAAATATACATGCTTTCTTAAAATCACTTCTGTTCTCTTTCAAGGTAGCATTGGCCATCTCCTCTGGCAATGCACCAATACTTCCCTACTGGACATAACTACAGGCAGTCCCCGGGTTACGTACAAGATAGGGACTGTAGGTTTGTTCTTAAGTTGAATCTGTATGTAAGTCAGAACTGGCGTCCAGATTCAGCAGCGGTTGAAACTGATCAGTTTCAGCAGCGGCTGACGCCAGTTCCGACTTACATACAGATTCAACTTAAGAACAAACCTACAGTCCCTATCTTGTACGTAACCCGGGGACTGCCTGTAGTTATGTCCAGTAGGGAAGTATTGGTGCATTGCCAGAGGAGATGGCCAATGCTACCTTGAAAGAGAACAGAAGTGATTTTAAGAAAGCATGTATATTTCTTTTGATCAAAATCCAGCTCTAGATAGATGCTGATCTGTGTGATTAGTGACTGTATCTAATGGTTAATGTTTGTTTGAGATTATGAAAAATGTTGCAGTAAGACAGCTCATATTATCTTGATGCCTGTGTTCTCCTACACCCTTGTCATTCTAGGCTTTAACTATTATATTTGCATTGGTCAATCACCTTCAGGCACTGAATAAAGACAGGGTGTCCATATTAATATTATCAAATTTGCCAGTTGTCTTTGCTACAGTTAATTATGAGGTTTAGACAGAGCTGCCCTGTACTGGCTTCATGCATCCATTGTTAGGCAATTGCTCTTCTGACTCATGAGTTCTGTCACATGGGATGTTGCAGGCTTCCCTCTCTGTCACCTGACCCATCTTGTTTAATGTGCAAGAGGCCATTAGGAGGGTTAGTGAAGAGACATAGACTGAAATGTTTTCAATATGCTAATGTTTTAGCTCGGTGGCCTTGACTGAGGAAAGCCTTTAAGTCCATCCCTGTTTAGGATTGTAATTAAGTCCATTCTTAACCTTATGCACAGGCTTATGTGCTGTCCTCAACAGGGATACTTTCCTAAATAGGACCCTCATCTCCCTTTCATCCTGCCTACAGGGCAGTTGAATCTATTTCTCAGTTACTGGGTGAGATTGAAGCATGAATAAGGGCAAGCTGATTGAGACTCAAACCTGATAAAAATGAGATAGCAATGGTTAGCCAAGGTCAACCAGATCATATGACAAATATATTTGTCCCTTTGGGTATGTCTACACTACCACCCTAGTTCGAACTAGGGTGGTTAATGTAGTCAATCGAAGTTGCAAATGAAGCCCGGGATTTGCCGGTGCCGGGGTTTGCCCCTCCCATTCCTTGCCGGCCGTCCCGGCTGCGCCGGGGTTGCTCCCACCCTGCCGCGTCTCCAGACCCTCCAGGTGGGCCCCAGGGTCGGCCGGAGTGCGGGGCACGGCCGCGCCGGGCGCCGCCCCGTCACAATCAGATAATTCTCTCTATGCATCAAAAGGTCCTGATAGAGAATAACAGTGATTTTTCAAATAGCTCATATAATAAAACAGCTGTACTACACATAAATGGCAGCAGATAATTTTTTGCCTACTGCCTTGAACCAGCTGCATAAAATCTTGTCCTTAATGTTAACATAAAAACACTTTCTCAGCCTGATGCAGTTTGTTGCATGGAATATAATGAATGTCCGTTTAAAATTAATGAAAACCACTGTGGGCAAAATACTAGGGAATATGTGGCAATTGTCCTGCATCAGCAAAGCAGGCTAGATAACCTAAAAGATCTTTTCTATCACTTATTTCTACGAGACTAAATTAAAAGCAATGATCAGACTAATAGATTATATCATAACGTTTCTTTCCCTGAAGGATTCTAATGATAATACAGAACTAAGGGCTGATCCTGAAACTCTTCCTCATATCAATAATTTTGTTAGCTGATGCTTTACTGAGTAAAAGTCTTTAGTCTTAACTCAAAATTTTTCAATTGTAAGCTCTTCTCAGTAGTGTCTTCCTATATGACTGTAAAATGCAGGACAATGTAGCACTTTAAAGACTAACAAGATGGTTTATTAGATGATGAGCTTTCGTGGGCCAGACCCACTTCCTCAGATCAAATAGTGGAAGAAAATAGTCACAACCATATATACCAAAGGATACAATTAAAAAAAAGAACAAATATGAAAAGGACAAATCACATTGCAGAACAGAAGGGAGATGCGGGGTGGGGGAGGGGGAGGAAGGAAGGTAAGTGTCTGTGAATTGCTGATATTAAAGGTAGGGAGAGTGGGATGTTTGTGAGTTAATGGTATTACAGGTGATAATTGGGGAAACTGTCTTGATAATGGGTGAGAAAGTTCAAAGACTTGTTAAGTCCCTGGTGGTAAGTGTCGAATTTTAACATGAATGACAGTTCAGAGGATTCCCTTTCAAGTGCAGATGTAAAAGGTCTTTGTAGCAGAATGCAGGTGGCTAAGTCATTTAGAGAGTGTCCTTTCTGGTTAAAGTGGCAAGAAACTGTTTTCTCTTTGTGATCTTGTCTGATATCTGTTTTGTGGGCATTAATCCTTTGGCGAAGTGTCTGAGATGTTTGTCCAATGTACATAGCAGACGGACACTTTCGGCACATGATAGCGTAGATTATATTTCTGGATGCGCAGGAATATGTGTTCTTGATCTTATAACTCACTTGGTTAGGTCCAATAATGGTATCAGCAGAATGAATATGTGGACAAAGCTGGCAACGGGGTTTGTTGCAAGGGAAGGTACCAGGGTTGGTATTAGTGTGGTATGTCCTGTGGTGGTTGGTAAGAATCATCTTGAGGTTAGGTGGTTGTCTATAGGAGACTATGGGTCTGTCTCCCAGAGCCTCTTTGAGTATGGTATCCTGTTCCAATATAGGCTGTAGTTTATTGATAATGTGTTGGACAGGTTTAAGTTGGGGGTTGTAGGTGATGACAAGTGGTGTTCTATTGTTGGTTTTCTTGGGTCTGTCTTGAAGTAGATGGTTTCTAGGTATTCGTCTGGCTCTTTCAATTTGCTTTTTTGTTTCTCTGGGTGGGTAGTTGAGATTTATAAATGCTTGGTAGAGATCCTGAAGCTTCTGGTCTCTGTCAGTGGGGTTAGAGCAGATGCGGTTGTATCGAAGGGCTTGGCTATAGACGATGGATCGTGTGGTGTGTTCTGGATGGGAGCTGGATGCATGTAGGTAACTGTATGAGTCAGTGGGTTTTCTGTAGAGAGTGGTGTCTAATTTTCCATTGTTGATTTGTACGGTGGTGTCCAGGAAGTGGATCTCTCGTGTAGAATGGTCCAGGCTGAGGTTGATGGTGGGGTGTAGGTTGTTGAAATCTCTGTGGAATATCTCCAGTGTTTCTTGGCCATGTGTCCAGATCATAAAGATGTCATCGATGTACCGTAGGTAGAGGAGGGGTGAAAGGGGACGGGAGTTGAGGAAACGTTGTTCTAGGTCAGCCATAAAGATGTTAGCATACTGTGGGGCCATGCGTGTACCCATGGCTGTGCCGCTGATCTGGAGGTATAAGTTGTTCTCAAACCGGAAATAATTGTGGGTGAGAACAAAGTTACATAGGTCTGCTATCAGGTTGGCAGTAGTGTCCTCTGGGATAGTGTTTCTAATTGCTTGTAATCCGTCTTCATGTGGGATGTTGGTATATAGAGCTTCTACATCCATGGTGGCAAGGATGGTATTATTGGGGAGGTTATCGATGTTTTGTAGTTTCCTTAGGAAGTCAGTAGTGTCTCGGAGATAGCTGGGGGTATTGGTTACGAAGGGTTTGAGAAGAGTGTCTACATAGCTGGATAGACCAGTAGTGAGCGTGCCAATACCAGAGATGATGGGACGTCCGGGGTGCCCAGGTTTATGGATCTTGGGAAGTAGATAGAACAATCCTGGTCGGGGGTCAGAAGGTGATTCTGTGAGGATTTGTTCCCGAGTAGCTGTGGGGAGGCTTTTAAGGAGACAGTGTAGTTTCTTTTGGTAGTCCAAGGTGGGATCAGAGGGGAGAGGTTTGTAAAATGTGGTGTTCGAGAGTTGTCTGGTTGCCTCCTGGTTATAGTCGGCCTTATTCATAATGACCACAGCACCCCCTTTGTCAGCTGGTTTGATTACAATGTCCAGGTTGTTTTTGAGACTCTGGATGGCATGGTGTTCAGCGCGGCTAAGATTGTGTGTCGCTTGTTGTCGTTTGCGAATAATGTCAGTCTGTGCGTTGTTGCGGAAGCTGTGTATATAGAAATCCAGATTGTAATTCCGACCGTCAGGGGGAGTCCATATAGAATTATTTTTCCTTTGGTGTTGGTAGGGGGGATCTGGTAGGTCAGATTGATGTTCAGTGGTGGTTTGGAAATATTCTCGGAGACGGAGGCGGCGAAAAAAAGCCTCAAGGTCACCACAAAATTGTATCCAGTTTGTGGGGGACGTGGGGCAGAAAGAGAGACCCCGGGACAAGACAGACTCTTCTGCTGGATTGAGTTTGTAGCTGGAGAGGTTAACAATATTATCCGGTGGGTTGAGGCAGTTGCTGTTGTAGCCAGTGGTATGGAGCAGGTTAGAAAATTTATTGTCTTTTCTTTGTTGTAGGGAATAGAAGTGTGTATAGTAGATTTCTTGTCTGGTGGAACAAAAGTCTTGCAAGGTGTCAGTCGGTGTGGATGTTTGTCTTGAGATGAGACGATCTAAGTTAGAAATGTCATTCTTGATGGTTTTCTGTTTCTTGTATAAAATACTTATCAGGTGGTTTCTTAATTTCTTGGATAGTGTGAGGCAGAGTCTTTCACTGTAGTCAGTGAAGTATGTTGATCTTAGTGGATTGTTCACTTTCAGTCCTTTGGGTACGATGTCCATTTTCTTGCACTTGGATAGAAAGATGATTAGAGTGCCTCACACATTTTGGATGCTACCGAAAAATAAATAATGAATGAAATAACATATGCAGACATATATTGTAAAATGGGTCATGTTTAGTAAACAGATTTTATCAGCATGACTTTGGGATGGTGACATTACTCATGAAGAGTAAAGATATAAATGAATCATGCAGGTCAACTCCAGAGAGTGCCAATGAAACCCTTCTAATACCACACACCAAAAATGTTGTGCTATTTGTTTTGGAAGAGCCTTGTATTTGTAGTGGTGGACTTTTCAAGGAGTCTTAGTTTTGGGGGACATTGGTTCCTGTTTGCTTTTTGTACTTTTATAATATTGGTGCTCTGTTGTCACAGTTCACACTTTACTCTCCTAAGGCCAAAAAACCTTAAAGTGAAAGAGAATGTTGCTAGTTTCATGTTAAGGAGCTAAGAACCAGGAACGAGAATTCTGTACATATCGAATTTTTAGAGACCAGGATTTTTTGCATTTCAACTACTATAATTTTATAAAAACAAATAATCATGTGAATATTATTTTTTTCTTCTATTATATGCTGTTAGGTGGAGCTACAGTTCTTATTTGCTTCTCTTGATGACTTTCCAGGAAGATCATAAACATGGTAACATTGAGATCATCTGAAAGACTAGACATATTCTGTCTTTATTAAAAGCAGAGATAACTTACCCAAGCTTAAGTGAAACTTCTAAGACCATGTAATTTTACCTCCATCCATCAGCACATTGTACTGAATAATTATATCATGCTACTCTGTGAAAAGAGTGATTTATGCTTTTTTAAAAAAACTACCTAGTGAGAAGTATATTCTAATTTGCCACAAGACATCTCAGGTGTGCAACTGCTTTTAGTGATGAAAGCTGCACCAGTAAATGCCCATACATCCAACTAAGAATGTGACCTATTAAGCCTGACTAGATAGTCTTTTCTCAGGCAAATCTTCCACTGAGGTAAAAAAATGCAAAATTGGTCCAGAAAAATGCATAACAAGAGGGTTCTAGAAAAGCATGAAAAATCCTATCATATTTAAGACAAATACAGGCAGTCCCCGGGTTACGTACAAGATAGGGACTGTAGGTTTGTTCTTAAGTTGAATCTGTATGTAAGTCGGAACTGGCGTCCAGATTCAGCCGCTGCTGAAACTGACCACCAGTTCTGACTTACATACAGATTCAACTTAAGAACCCCAAGGCTACGTCTACACTGGCCCCTTTTCCGAAAGGGGCATGCTAATTTTACAGGTCGTAATAGGGAAATCCGCGGGGGATTTAAATATCCCCCGCGGCATTTAAATAAAAATGTCCGCCGCTTTTTTCCAGCTTTTAGAAAAGCCAGAAAAGAGCGCCTACACTGGCCCCGATCCTCCGGAAAAAAGCCCTTTTCCGGAGGATCTCTTATTCTTACTTCAAAGTAACTCGGGGACTGCCTGTAAATAATCTAGACTTAAGTTGTCTCATAATCATTATCTTATTAAAATTAAAATTGCACTCATCTTACTCAATATCTAAATGTAGAAATATCCATAGGAAGAAGTGGCTTATGTGAATTCTTTTAGAAGTTTTAAAATAGCAGTTGGAACTTATGTACCTTGTTCTGGAAGCCACCACCTTGTTGAAACAGGCTCTTACTTGAGGTCTGCCATAACCAGCATCACAATTAAATGGATTAAAAATCAGTTTCCAACCAGATTTAATCATGGTTTAACAATGATTAAAGAAAATCTACATATTTTGTTTAAATATTGGCTTTTCTTTTGACTGCAGGTAATTTACAGTAATATCCTGTAAATACACTTCAGTGTTCCTTGACAGCACTACTCTCCTCAGCATAAGCTTTCATCTCCTTTTTTCAGCTCCTGATAACACAGGCTTCTGGGCTGGGAAAACTATTTCTATCTGACCCTCCACACCAAGCTGCCTGCTGATCAGACAGTTGTACTGTACTAGTTAGTTCAAACAGATGTACTTTTTCATAGATTCTGATTCTTTCTCATCCATAGCAAACTTTTCTTCACCTTTCCTTATTCTTCTACATTATTAACCTCAGTGATTATTCTGTAAAATAATCGAAAACTATTACTGTAAATCCTGATCAGTAATAGAACTTACCTATGCTAGCCATAGATATGTCAACTTCCTCATCTTTTTTACCTGAAATGCAATAACATGATTTTAAGTTGGCATTTAAAAATTATAATACATTAGTTATCCTTCTATAAAATATTTAATTTGATAACATACATAAGTAGCAATGCATTCTTTATAATGTATGAAATCTAATCTATGAAGAGGAAGCACAATCCATTTTCTATTTAACTGAGATTTTATGAAAGAAACTACTGAATGAATACCCTATTAGAATGAGATTCTGGATGTATTTTAAAAAGGCATTAGCATTTCATTGAAATTTGAGAGAAATGTAAAATTCATGTTTATTATGGACAGGCGTCGAGACAAAAAGGAAATCTCCCACCTTGTGGCACAAATGGAGTCACTGCATTCTCCTGAGCACAGGAACTGCTGATAACATCTCCTGGGTAACACTCAAAAATGGTAATGACTGAATGGGATGATAAATGGTCAGGCCCCCCTAAACACTTTGGTCAGTAGAGCTGGCCTGCATACAGATGAGCAGATGCTGAATCTTTCTAAAGGGTGGAGGAGTGGGTATGGCACTCCAGGAATCATTGTGCATCTTGTGCTTATGGGATGATGTACAAACCCTACAATGCTTCCCGATAGGAAGGGATTAATAGTCTGGCCTGTAGTCTGCTTTGCTGCCCAACACTCACTAAATACTAGGGATGTTTGAATGTAAACGACAAGCCATTTAACCGATAAGCAGAACTTATCAGTTAATGGTGTTGGTTACACTCAGCGAAGTCCTCACCCTGGTAACTGGGCAGACAATAGCTGCAGGCTCTGCTCCCAGAGAGGTGGACCCACTGCGGCAGTGAAGTCTCCTCATTGAGCTGGGATGGCAGGGGCTGACGGCCTCATTCCTGGGAAGGCTTCACTGTGGGCTCTGCAGTATAAAACTAAGCTTTATATCTGCAGAGCCCTCAGCATGGGTAACCAGGTAACTGCTGATATTTTCAGTGGTTATACAGTTACCCTATTACGCTATTTTTAACATCCCTACTAGACACACTAATTGGGAGGATATGATGGTGTGCATATCCTAGGCAGCTAGTCAGAAGCACTAAATCTAAGCACTAGAGAATAGCTTTGTTTAATGTTACTTTGTGCATTTTGTGCTTGAATAACAAGTGAAGCTCTGAGAAAAAGATCCTCATCCAGACTCTGGCTATGGCTTCAGTCCTTCCCAGGTTGGAGACACAGGCCTCAAGTCTACATGATGAACTGACCCAGGTCCATACGTAGCATACATAGGGTGCTGACCTGTTGTTCACAGTACTGATAATTATTTAACTGAAGAGGTTTTTATTGATGCCATTCACTGAGGCGTGTTTCCTTTCTAGTTTCTGCTGTGGTCTGTTGGCCCTCTCCAGACCTGACTCCAGCACAGCTCCCCTAGAGCAATGCAGAAACAGCAGCAAAACTAATTCACCATCCTGCACTTTTCTAACTCTTTCTCCCCATTTCTCAGTAGATTCATAATAGCAGAGCACTATAGTAAAGTTACATGTTATTACTGCAAGACTTCATTTATATTTTAAAAATATAATACATTGGTGCTCACTATTAAATAATAAACACTATTTTCTGCACGATGGCACCTTGTTATGCTATACAAAGCATGCAGATCTTTTATAGGGGAGAAGGCAGTATGCCATTAATATTTTCCTGTACTTAAACCTGTTTATGGTGAAGCAATAATAATACTTAATCATACTTAGCTCTCATGCTTTTCATTGGTAGATCTCAAAGATGCATTACAAGGAGATAAGTATGGCTATCCCTCCTTTATATTGGGAGAAACAGAGTCACAGAGAAGTAATGTGACATGCTTAAGGTCACCCATCAGCCCAGTGGGAATAGAAAACAGATCTCCTGAGTGCTCTATTTTCTAAGCCACATAGAAAATCTAAATTACATTTCTCTAAAAGAAAACAGCGTGATGTAATGTCCATGTTACTTGTGTTTTGGTCACTTACTTGCTTATTCACAAAACTATAATAATTCGTAACAGGTCTCCAAGTCACTGGTGAAAATTATTCAGTTTTAATATACTTAGTATATTTGTAACATGTTATCCCAAACTGTGTAAGGAGCTGCGATATAAATCTAAGCAACATCTTTCTTTATTTCTGTATCATACATACCAAGCTGTTTTCGCTTGCCTTTGGCTGATCCTTTAGCTTTCATTTCTCCTTTACTTTTAAGTTTCTTTGCTGATTCTTTGGCACTTAGTACAGAGGACTTGCTGGATTTTGGACTTTCTAACATTTGTAAGATTTCTGTCTGAAAAGATATTGTATAGCATTAATATATTGTAATCAAAGGGTCAAGTTTTCATCCATGTCCAAAGAGACTGTCCAAAGGTTTATGTCCCAAACATAATGTATTTTTGAAGTGGAATCTTATAGTTGGAAAGTGATGCTGCCTCTGTTTTAGGGCTTGTCTACAATGTGCACTAGAGGGGTATGGTTTTTAAGCACATCAGTACATTGCACACAAACTGGCAGTAAAATTTTCACAGTGTGTTAATGTAGGTTGGTTGCTAGGAAATTTTTAGTGTGCACTAGCATTGTCTAGATGGGCCAGTTAGCATGTAATGCAAGTACAGTTTAGAAATCACATTTTATAGTGCACGTTGCCTTGCCATGTAGACAAGCCCTTTGTAGACTAGTTATAATATTGATTGTTACAGGGCTGAATTAAAAAAAGTAATAAAGATAGAGTAGACTTAACACACTAACAAAGCTGTGTACTCTTGCTACAGTCTTCTTGGAACATGTGGAATACCATAAATGTAATTATTTGTCCCAGTGTTTTTAAACATAGGCTGTAGCAGATCTGTACACAGCATTTCTGTCAGATGTACAGAGTATTATCAAAAGCGATATTTGTGTGTTTTCACTGTAACTAGAATTTGTTGGAGATACAATCTCAACAAATCTCAACATGAATAAAACTATTCTACCTACACTTTTTAATGTTTCACTCTTTCTTCTCAATTAAACTTCTTGAAGACAGGTAACTACCATCTTTGGATATTCCAGTTCCACAAGAGCAAATTCCAGTACGGTAAAGATGAGGTTAGAGGAGATACAATGACCTGTTAAATGATATGTCATTCCCTGACCCAAAGTTTTCTTTATCACAGGTGAAAAAGAGGAATTTGTAGCTATCTCAGTCAGGATTCACGGACTCGAGCAAAGCATACTTATTTTGTTGTTCATGGTTGTTTTCCTCATTGTCAATTAACAGTCCACAGTATTTCAATTGACAGCACTATTTTCCTTCAGGATAGCCTGGGACATCAACCCAAAGTACCCACAACAATGTATGAAAAAGCTGTAGGTCCAGATTCTGTTCTCATTACTAACACTGAGTCCAGACTAACTGACCACTATTTGACTTTTTAGTTTAACACCATTAAGGGCAAACTTGAAGAACTGTACAATTAGTTACAACATACTGTCACACTTTTGTCTTTGACTTCATTATTCTCTACACACAGCTGGAGGAGCCTCAAACAGTGGCTCTTGTTCCACTCATCTGCAGAAGTGGGTTGTGCCAACAAAAGCCCATAATACAATGTGTTTTTGTTAGTCTCTAAGGCGCTATAGAACCACTTTCTTTTCAAGTTTTTTTTAAGACTGGCTTATTTCGTTCTTCCTCTTCCCTCCCACTATTCCTTCCTAAAAGATAGGTGACAGGGTACAGAAAAGAAATATAGAGGTTTGTTTTTCTGCTGATGACTATGGCGACCATTCTGAACACATAAAAGTATCACAAGAAAAGAGGTTTCTGCTCAGACCTTTTTTTCCATTGAAGTAGCCCAACATAGTTTTTTATGTATATAATGATTTTAATATATAAAAAAAACAATTAGAATAGCAGAGAGCAGGTACTAAGAAGGGTCTATTCTGCTCAGCATAAATGTAGAATCCTGCCAGCAAGATAGGTCAAGCAAGACAAAACAAACCATCACCTCCTCTGAAATACAGTTGCAGCACCATCATGTGGAAAACATACACCTAGCATCCAATTAACTAGAAGTTTTTACAAACAGATTTGTCCAGGGTTTCTTAGGTCAGTTATTATTAGTGAAATCCAGAAGATTTAAGCGTCAGCAACAGAGGGTGGAGTGGCAGTTGCATTGTACCATAAGTTGCTATAATGTGGGCATACAAATTTGAAACTAGTTTTTAGGATTGTAAACTAATTAGGGCAAAGACCATATTGTGATACATAAGTGATTTCACTACACGTTGCATATTTTGTGTTACCACAATATTAATAGTAATAACAAAGGTTGAGCACTCATATCATAGGGCTTTTTATTACTATCATGATACAACACTTATCAGAGAGACACTGAAGAACACTAAAAGGAACTCCTCCAGCCTTCTTTGGACAGATAGCATATTCATCACAAAGGATCTGAGACGGAAGATAGGTGAGATTAAAATAAAATAAACCAATACCAGAGTATCAGAGACTCCCCCAGGGGAAAACCAAAAGAATGCATTTTAAGATGCCTAATATGTTTTGTACATTAAAAAAATGTCTAGATCTATGTGTTTGTAATTTAAAGGATTATCCTAATTTTTAGTTTAATATCTTTCCTCCCCAGGTTAAGAAATGTGGTGATTCTCTTTTTTAAAAACTACTACTCTCAAATCATTCTAGAAGCAAAAAGAAATAAAATATCATATTCTGCTCTACATTACCAGAACATTATAAATATGTTTACATTTGGAGGCAGCCACTATCACAAAGAAGTAGAACTAGTTATCTGTTATTTTAAACTTGGGTGCTAATCCATTTTCCACTGAAATAGATATAAAAACATTACTGAGTTGCAAATACAGTCCTCTTGATAAAAAACATTCATGAGTTGTACAAATATAAACCACTTACTTTTACCACAAGTTACAACTATGCTAGCACAAGATAGGCTAATGTCTTTAATCATTTTGTTGCTCTTTTCCGGACTTTCTCCAATTTGTCCACCTCATTCCTGAAATGTGGTGTCCAGAATTGGATCCAATATGCCAGTTGGTAACGGTCTGTATTAAAAGATATCTAAAATGTGAAAACCAAGCGCAGTCCTCCAAAATATTCTTACAATGGCACACCATAAGGAAAGGTGCAAGATTAATAAATGCAAGTATACAGATCAATTTTCTTACACACAGAAAGTCACTCCTGATCCATATCCTTGTAAACTTAAAACAATTGTTACCCATTGGACTGCCTGTGTTACTGATCCTATAAAAGGGATGCTGTGGCTACTCTAACTTGAGCCAGAGGCTTGTAGCTCTGGATGAAAGAGAGAATGTCTTCCAGTACAAACAAAGTGTAATTCTGAAAATTAACTTGAGGGCAAGCTGAACCATTGAATATTTAGTACAGTCAAATTCCATTATCTCAGCATTTCCTTATTGGAAATTTTGATTTGCTACTAGTGAGTAATCAAAACCACAGGTCACATGAATACAGGAAACACTGAAATATCCGAGATTAATCACATGGCTTCTTTTAGGAAAGTACTTACAAGTAATAATAGTGTATATAAAACATCACTGTGTTCCATTCTTTTGTGTGGCTTTAAAGCTGCTGTTCTGAGAAAAAGAGTTAAACAAATATCTTTAAAAAGTACATTTTAAAAATCTCTCCAGTTGACTTAATTCTTTCCCCTTTTATCCTCTGTGCAACTGAAATAAAGCAGAACTTATCAGTTAATGGTGTTGGTTACACTCAGCGAAGTCCTCACCCTGGTAACTGGGCAGACAATAGCTGCAGGCTCTGCTCCCAGAGAGGTGGACCCACTGCGGCAGTGAAGTCTCCTCATTGAGCTGGGATGGCAGGGGCTGACGGCCTCATTCCTGGGAAGGCTTCACTGTGGGCTCTGCAGTATAAAACTAAGCTTTATATCTGCAGAGCCCTCAGCATGGGTAACCAGGTAACTGCTGATATTTTCAGTGGTTATACAGTTACCCTATTACGCTATTTTTAACATCCCTACTAGACACACTAATTGGGAGGATATGATGGTGTGCATATCCTAGGCAGCTAGTCAGAAGCACTAAATCTAAGCACTAGAGAATAGCTTTGTTTAATGTTACTTTGTGCATTTTGTGCTTGAATAACAAGTGAAGCTCTGAGAAAAAGATCCTCATCCAGACTCTGGCTATGGCTTCAGTCCTTCCCAGGTTGGAGACACAGGCCTCAAGTCTACATGATGAACTGACCCAGGTCCATACGTAGCATACATAGGGTGCTGACCTGTTGTTCACAGTACTGATAATTATTTAACTGAAGAGGTTTTTATTGATGCCATTCACTGAGGCGTGTTTCCTTTCTAGTTTCTGCTGTGGTCTGTTGGCCCTCTCCAGACCTGACTCCAGCACAGCTCCCCTAGAGCAATGCAGAAACAGCAGCAAAACTAATTCACCATCCTGCACTTTTCTAACTCTTTCTCCCCATTTCTCAGTAGATTCATAATAGCAGAGCACTATAGTAAAGTTACATGTTATTACTGCAAGACTTCATTTATATTTTAAAAATATAATACATTGGTGCTCACTATTAAATAATAAACACTATTTTCTGCACGATGGCACCTTGTTATGCTATACAAAGCATGCAGATCTTTTATAGGGGAGAAGGCAGTATGCCATTAATATTTTCCTGTACTTAAACCTGTTTATGGTGAAGCAATAATAATACTTAATCATACTTAGCTCTCATGCTTTTCATTGGTAGATCTCAAAGATGCATTACAAGGAGATAAGTATGGCTATCCCTCCTTTATATTGGGAGAAACAGAGTCACAGAGAAGTAATGTGACATGCTTAAGGTCACCCATCAGCCCAGTGGGAATAGAAAACAGATCTCCTGAGTGCTCTATTTTCTAAGCCACATAGAAAATCTAAATTACATTTCTCTAAAAGAAAACAGCGTGATGTAATGTCCATGTTACTTGTGTTTTGGTCACTTACTTGCTTATTCACAAAACTATAATAATTCGTAACAGGTCTCCAAGTCACTGGTGAAAATTATTCAGTTTTAATATACTTAGTATATTTGTAACATGTTATCCCAAACTGTGTAAGGAGCTGCGATATAAATCTAAGCAACATCTTTCTTTATTTCTGTATCATACATACCAAGCTGTTTTCGCTTGCCTTTGGCTGATCCTTTAGCTTTCATTTCTCCTTTACTTTTAAGTTTCTTTGCTGATTCTTTGGCACTTAGTACAGAGGACTTGCTGGATTTTGGACTTTCTAACATTTGTAAGATTTCTGTCTGAAAAGATATTGTATAGCATTAATATATTGTAATCAAAGGGTCAAGTTTTCATCCATGTCCAAAGAGACTGTCCAAAGGTTTATGTCCCAAACATAATGTATTTTTGAAGTGGAATCTTATAGTTGGAAAGTGATGCTGCCTCTGTTTTAGGGCTTGTCTACAATGTGCACTAGAGGGGTATGGTTTTTAAGCACATCAGTACATTGCACACAAACTGGCAGTAAAATTTTCACAGTGTGTTAATGTAGGTTGGTTGCTAGGAAATTTTTAGTGTGCACTAGCATTGTCTAGATGGGCCAGTTAGCATGTAATGCAAGTACAGTTTAGAAATCACATTTTATAGTGCACGTTGCCTTGCCATGTAGACAAGCCCTTTGTAGACTAGTTATAATATTGATTGTTACAGGGCTGAATTAAAAAAAGTAATAAAGATAGAGTAGACTTAACACACTAACAAAGCTGTGTACTCTTGCTACAGTCTTCTTGGAACATGTGGAATACCATAAATGTAATTATTTGTCCCAGTGTTTTTAAACATAGGCTGTAGCAGATCTGTACACAGCATTTCTGTCAGATGTACAGAGTATTATCAAAAGCGATATTTGTGTGTTTTCACTGTAACTAGAATTTGTTGGAGATACAATCTCAACAAATCTCAACATGAATAAAACTATTCTACCTACACTTTTTAATGTTTCACTCTTTCTTCTCAATTAAACTTCTTGAAGACAGGTAACTACCATCTTTGGATATTCCAGTTCCACAAGAGCAAATTCCAGTACGGTAAAGATGAGGTTAGAGGAGATACAATGACCTGTTAAATGATATGTCATTCCCTGACCCAAAGTTTTCTTTATCACAGGTGAAAAAGAGGAATTTGTAGCTATCTCAGTCAGGATTCACGGACTCGAGCAAAGCATACTTATTTTGTTGTTCATGGTTGTTTTCCTCATTGTCAATTAACAGTCCACAGTATTTCAATTGACAGCACTATTTTCCTTCAGGATAGCCTGGGACATCAACCCAAAGTACCCACAACAATGTATGAAAAAGCTGTAGGTCCAGATTCTGTTCTCATTACTAACACTGAGTCCAGACTAACTGACCACTATTTGACTTTTTAGTTTAACACCATTAAGGGCAAACTTGAAGAACTGTACAATTAGTTACAACATACTGTCACACTTTTGTCTTTGACTTCATTATTCTCTACACACAGCTGGAGGAGCCTCAAACAGTGGCTCTTGTTCCACTCATCTGCAGAAGTGGGTTGTGCCAACAAAAGCCCATAATACAATGTGTTTTTGTTAGTCTCTAAGGCGCTATAGAACCACTTTCTTTTCAAGTTTTTTTTAAGACTGGCTTATTTCGTTCTTCCTCTTCCCTCCCACTATTCCTTCCTAAAAGATAGGTGACAGGGTACAGAAAAGAAATATAGAGGTTTGTTTTTCTGCTGATGACTATGGCGACCATTCTGAACACATAAAAGTATCACAAGAAAAGAGGTTTCTGCTCAGACCTTTTTTTCCATTGAAGTAGCCCAACATAGTTTTTTATGTATATAATGATTTTAATATATAAAAAAAACAATTAGAATAGCAGAGAGCAGGTACTAAGAAGGGTCTATTCTGCTCAGCATAAATGTAGAATCCTGCCAGCAAGATAGGTCAAGCAAGACAAAACAAACCATCACCTCCTCTGAAATACAGTTGCAGCACCATCATGTGGAAAACATACACCTAGCATCCAATTAACTAGAAGTTTTTACAAACAGATTTGTCCAGGGTTTCTTAGGTCAGTTATTATTAGTGAAATCCAGAAGATTTAAGCGTCAGCAACAGAGGGTGGAGTGGCAGTTGCATTGTACCATAAGTTGCTATAATGTGGGCATACAAATTTGAAACTAGTTTTTAGGATTGTAAACTAATTAGGGCAAAGACCATATTGTGATACATAAGTGATTTCACTACACGTTGCATATTTTGTGTTACCACAATATTAATAGTAATAACAAAGGTTGAGCACTCATATCATAGGGCTTTTTATTACTATCATGATACAACACTTATCAGAGAGACACTGAAGAACACTAAAAGGAACTCCTCCAGCCTTCTTTGGACAGATAGCATATTCATCACAAAGGATCTGAGACGGAAGATAGGTGAGATTAAAATAAAATAAACCAATACCAGAGTATCAGAGACTCCCCCAGGGGAAAACCAAAAGAATGCATTTTAAGATGCCTAATATGTTTTGTACATTAAAAAAATGTCTAGATCTATGTGTTTGTAATTTAAAGGATTATCCTAATTTTTAGTTTAATATCTTTCCTCCCCAGGTTAAGAAATGTGGTGATTCTCTTTTTTAAAAACTACTACTCTCAAATCATTCTAGAAGCAAAAAGAAATAAAATATCATATTCTGCTCTACATTACCAGAACATTATAAATATGTTTACATTTGGAGGCAGCCACTATCACAAAGAAGTAGAACTAGTTATCTGTTATTTTAAACTTGGGTGCTAATCCATTTTCCACTGAAATAGATATAAAAACATTACTGAGTTGCAAATACAGTCCTCTTGATAAAAAACATTCATGAGTTGTACAAATATAAACCACTTACTTTTACCACAAGTTACAACTATGCTAGCACAAGATAGGCTAATGTCTTTAATCATTTTGTTGCTCTTTTCCGGACTTTCTCCAATTTGTCCACCTCATTCCTGAAATGTGGTGTCCAGAATTGGATCCAATATGCCAGTTGGTAACGGTCTGTATTAAAAGATATCTAAAATGTGAAAACCAAGCGCAGTCCTCCAAAATATTCTTACAATGGCACACCATAAGGAAAGGTGCAAGATTAATAAATGCAAGTATACAGATCAATTTTCTTACACACAGAAAGTCACTCCTGATCCATATCCTTGTAAACTTAAAACAATTGTTACCCATTGGACTGCCTGTGTTACTGATCCTATAAAAGGGATGCTGTGGCTACTCTAACTTGAGCCAGAGGCTTGTAGCTCTGGATGAAAGAGAGAATGTCTTCCAGTACAAACAAAGTGTAATTCTGAAAATTAACTTGAGGGCAAGCTGAACCATTGAATATTTAGTACAGTCAAATTCCATTATCTCAGCATTTCCTTATTGGAAATTTTGATTTGCTACTAGTGAGTAATCAAAACCACAGGTCACATGAATACAGGAAACACTGAAATATCCGAGATTAATCACATGGCTTCTTTTAGGAAAGTACTTACAAGTAATAATAGTGTATATAAAACATCACTGTGTTCCATTCTTTTGTGTGGCTTTAAAGCTGCTGTTCTGAGAAAAAGAGTTAAACAAATATCTTTAAAAAGTACATTTTAAAAATCTCTCCAGTTGACTTAATTCTTTCCCCTTTTATCCTCTGTGCAACTGAAAAAGCAAACAAGGAAGATTGTGGGCGGGAGTGTGAAATATAACTGAGTTGAACAGTAGGGGTCAAATCAGGAACCCAGAACGGCCACTTAGATAACCACATTTATTATAATACAGTTAGGGAAAAAATCTAATTAGTTAGCCATTATAATCTCACAAACAGTACATCAATTCTGACTCTAAATTTGTCATTTTCTGGGTGTTCAATTATCTATAGTTAGAACACTTGGACCTGATTTTATTGCTAGTGAAGTCCACAGCAAAATTTCTATAGATTTTACAGGAAACAGAACAGATCTCTATCAATTACATCTCTGCAAAGTGGATGTTAAAATGCTACCATTTTGATTTGGCAACATACTGCTCAGAGGTATGTGACTGTATAAAGTGCAATGCAGTGGAGAATCAAAGCCTTAACCTTGATGAGCCACCATGATAGCTGACATGAATCAAAGTCTCTAAAACCATGGCATCCAACATGCTAGCTACTAGCCACATGTGGCTATGTGTCCAGTTGAGAGTGGCTAGTTTACTATAGCAGTAGCCATTATAGTGGCTACTGCTTCAGAACTGGTTGGACACCACAACTCAAAAACATTATAACATTAACTTGGGTATTATGCGGGGATCTCCTGTAAATTTAGTCATTAGTGTCTAAGTTAAAGTCAACATTCCCCGGACTTACCTTTACTTCGGACACTTCCCTATTTGATTTCCTTGGTTTAGATACAGTAGTGTCTTGCACAGAAAACTAGAAAAGTGTCAGATGACACTTTTGAAAACATGACCCTTAGTGACTTGCCTCAGCTCACAAAGTTGAGCCAGTGATGGAATAAGAACTAAAAATGAGGCCTCCTGATTCTCATTCTTAAATAATAGCACTAACCCATAGGTTCTCAAACTTCATTGCACTGCAACTCCAAAGCTAAACCCCAAGAGCTCCAGCCCTAAAGTGTGTGTGTGTGAGGGGGGGAGGTTAGAGGGAGGGAGATGTAACTTGAGCATGCCACAGCTTCAGCTCCAGGGTGGTAGGGCTTGAGCTTTAGCCAGGGCCCTAGCAAGTCTAACACCAGCCCTCCTAGTTAGCAGTCTTGATCCACAGTTTCACTGTGTCTAGACTGCATCCCTTTTCCGTAAAAGGGATGTAAATTAGACATATCGCAATTGCAAATGAAGCGGGGATTTAAATCCCCTCCGCTTCATTAGCATAAAAAGGGCTGCCACTTTTTTCCGGCTCGGAGCTTTGCCGGAAAAAAGCGCCAGTCTAGACGTGGATCTTTCAGAAAATAAAGCCTTTTCCAAAAGATCTCTTATCCCTTATTTTAAGAGGAATAAGGGATCTTTTGGAAAAGGCTTTATTTTCTGAAAGATCCACGTCTAGACTGGCGCTTTTTTCCGGCAAAGCTCCGAGCCGGAAAAAAGCGGCAGCCATTTTTATGCTAATGAAGCGGGGGGGATTTAAATCCCCGCTTCATTTGCAATTGCGATATGTCTAATTTGCATCCCTTTTACTAAAAAGGGAGGCAATCTAGACACAGCCTTTGAGAACTGCTGAACTAAATGATGTTCTTA